GAAACAAAGTAGAGCTCCCCAAATGGGAAATAGCTACATAAATGTAATGGAATATTACTACAATGAAAGAAAAGATGAAGATGAATATAAGGAAGCATGCAAAGATTTATAAAAACTGATACAAAGTGAAGCAAGCAGTCAGTCAATAAAAATTTATTAAGCACCTACTGTACGCCAAGCACACAGTATTGGGGATACAAAAAAAGGCAAAAGACAGTCCCTGCCCTCAAGAAACTCACAATCAAAGGGGGGAGACAACAAGCAAATAACTGTATACAAATAAGCCACATACAAGATAAAGGGGAAATAAATAAAAGAGGGAAGGCATTAGAATTAAGATGGGTTGGGAAAGGCTTTCTATAGAACAGAGGTATCAAACAAGAAGTCTGTAACTTTTTAAGTTTGTAAGTTTGTGTAACACTCCCTAGGGTGGAGAACCAGATTGAGATGTAATTGGAAAATATTAAACAAAATAAAATAGATTACATTTTAAAATCTAGTCAACATGTGGCTCACAGGGATCTTCATGTATGGATTAGTGGCCTCACTTCCACTTGAGTTTGACACTAATGTTGTAGAAGATGGGATTTTAGTTGAGACTGAAAACCAGGGAAAGCACTAATCAAAAAGGAGGAAGGACAAAATTCCAGGTACGAGGGATAGCCAGAGAAAATTCCCGGAGTTGAGATAGATGGAATGTCTTTTTTTTTGTGGAACAGTAAGAAGTCCAGTGTCACTGGATCCTGTGTGCTGGAGAGTAAGATGTAAGAAGACTAGAAAGGTAGGACGGGGTTAGGTTATGAAGAGCTTCGAAAGTCAAATAGGGGGCAGCTAGGTGGCACAGTGGAGTCAGGAGCATGTGAGTTCAAATTTGGTCTCAGACACATAACACTTACTAGCTGTGTGACACTGGGCAAGTCACTTAGCCCCAATAGTCTCACCAACAAAAAAAAAAAAAGAAGAAGAAGAAGAAGAAAGTCAAGTAGAACATTTTGTATTAGCTCCTGAAGGCAATAAGGAGTTATCTGAATTTACAGAGTAGGGGGTGACATGTTTGGACTTGTGCTTTAGGAAAGTCACTTGGATGGCTAAATAAAGAATGGGCTGTAGAGGGGAGAGACTTAAGGCAGCAGCCTACTGAACAGTCCATGAAGTGATGAAGGCCTATACCAGAGTAATTCAATGTCAGAGTTGAGAATAGGGACATATTCAAGAGATGTCCTGGAGGTAAAATTGATAGGCCTTGGCAATAAGTAGGATATAGGGGGAGGGAGTTGAAGATGACACCTAGGTTATGAGCCAGAGGGACTGAAAGGATGATACTGCCCTCTACCACAATAGGGAAAGTAGGAGGCAGGGAAAGTTTTTTTAGGGAAAAAGATGAGTTCAGTTTTAGACATATTGAGTTTAAGATATCTACTGGACATCCATCCAGTTCAAGATGTCTGAAAAACACATGAAGATGTGAGACTGAAGGTCATCAGAGAGGTCAGGGCAAGATAGGTAGATCTGAGAATCATCAGCACAGAGATGGTAATTAAGTCCATGGGAGCTGATGAGATCACTAAGTACAGAAATATAGAAGAAGAAAAGAAGAAAGCCCAAGACAGGACTCTGTGTTAAGGAGAACCAAGAAAACAACATACATAGCAACAATGTAAATGAGGGGAAAACTGCAAAAAAATCATATAAACTATATGCTGTGAAATGATAATGCCTAATCTTGCTATGAGAAGGCACTTCCTTCTTGCTTTTGCAGAGGTGTGGAACTAGTAGTGTGGAACACTACCTACAATGTTGAACTTTGTTAATGTGCTGACTGAGTGTTGTTGAACTCCTTTTTTTCCTTTATTAAATGGGACAGCTCTCTGGGAGTACGGGAGAGAGGAATACGCTGGGAAATGTAGATAATGTAAAACCAAAACATATCAATAAAAATTTTAATGCCATGAATTGATATTTAAAAAACACTTGTAGGATGCAGATTTAACAGGGGAAAAAAAACCTTAATATAAGAGAAGCAGAGGCAGATGGCACTGTATTAATGAGGAAAAGTCTTCATTTCCATTCCTCACAGTTAAATAACAATCAAATGAACCAAGAACCTCTTCTTTATCTTCTAACAGCAAGTACCTGAGCATCACTTCCCTCTAAACCAGCCTATACCTAGCACTCCTTTAAAAATCACCTTTCTTAGGGGCAGCTGGGTGGCAAAGTGGATAGAGCACCAGCCCTGGATTCAGGAGGACCTGAGTTCAAATCAGGTCTCAGACACATAACACTTACTAGCTGTGTGACTGTGGGCAAGTCACTTAACCCCACTGCCTAACCAAAAATAAATAAATAAAATTAAAATCACTTTTCTTCACCTGGAAAGACTTACATGAATTGATGCAAAGTGAGGTGAGCAGAAACAGGAGAACATTGCACAGCAACACTGTACAATAATCAACCATGAATGACTTAGCTATTCTCAGCAATACAATGATCCAAGACAATTCCAAAGGATTCATGATGAAAAATGCTATTCACATCTAGAGAAAGAACTGATAAGAGTCTGAATACAAATCAAAGCATACTATTTTCATTTTTTTTTAAATTTTTTAACATGGCTTTTTTCCTTTGGTCTGTTTCTTCTTTTACAACATGACTAATAGGGCAACATGTTTGACATAATTATACATATATAACCTATATCAAATTGCTGACCATTTTAAGAAGGGGGGAAGTGAGGGATAAAATTTGGAACTCAAAAAAAATTTTTTAATGGATGTTAAAACTTGTCTTTACATGTAATTGGAAAAAAAAATACTATAAAAAAAGAACAGTTAAAAATATAAGGGGGGGAAATCACCTTTCTTTTAGTACCTAAGGCAGCACAGCACAGGATAAAATAATAGACCTGGTTCAAATCTCACTTTTGACATTTACTAGACCCAGGGCAACTTTTTAGAAACTCAGTTTCTTCATCTATAATTATAATACCTGTAGTACCTACCTCAAAAGGTTATTGTTATTATCACTATTATTTTCAAATGAGAATGTATGTGAAAGGCTTTGTAAGTTTTAAAAGCACTAGATAAATGTCATTTATTCCTGTCTCTATGCAGTTGCACTGGTCTTCCTCCAAGGCTGGAATGTATTCATTGCTCACCTCCACTTCACAGAACTCTCTTCCTTGAAGATGAAGCTCAAGAATCACATTCTTCATGAAACCTTTTTTCATCTCCCCCCAATGCTAAGTCCCCCTCTCTATCTCAAACTAGCCTGAATTTAATTCCTTTGCATTTATTTAGTCACCTTCTATTTATTCTGTATAGGACAGATTTATTCATTATCTTTCTCACCAAAATCTAAGGCTACTGGAGAGTTGAAGTGTTTTACGCTTGTCATTTGTATCCTCAATGTCCACTGTCTGGCAGACAGTAGGCATTTCATATATTCTACTTATTCACTTAAAAACCCACTGCCAACTGCATGTCACAGAACTTTGTGGCCATCACCAAGATGCAATGGAATCCCCAAGCCCACAAGTACAAGCAGAGCTGGGCTAGAACACTGACAGGGGAACAGAACCCAGCTTCCCACTACTTTGTCCAACTCACTTTTAAACTGCCTCAAAAGAAAACTAAACAAAATAAAATAAAATCATCTGACTTTTTCAAAAGGCAGAACAGAAAATAGAAGGAAATAGAATCTCGTTTGCCTGGTAGGAGCTACCCATAGTAGGGGACATAGAGAATAGGTGGGACTGGGATTGTTTTTCCTTTTCTAAATAAAGAGAATCCTATTCCAATGGCAATATTTAGGAAACACAAATCCTTTAAGTAGACAGTTTTGCAAGGAGATTATATTTTGGCAAAAAGGATGATTTCTTCATACTATTAATGGTTGTCAAACTTCTTAGCTAATAGATTCTATAGTAAAACAAAAGATCCCACAGACCAACTCTACCTTTCTGCTTGCCACTTCATAAAAAAAAAACTAAAAAAAAACTAAACTAAAAAGCAGTTTTTAAAAAAATATTTGAAAAAAAATTTTATGAAAAATATTGCAAATCACTAATAATAAAAATGTAAATTAAAACTGAAGTTCTACTCATATCCAAAGATGAGAAAAGGAAAATGACAACTATCAAAAGAGCTGCTGAAAGAAAGGCACACTAATTCACTATTGGTGGAGCTATGAATTTGCCTATTTTAGAACCAATGTGGAACTATTCCCCAGGTCACTTTAACCCAGTGATACCATTAGTTAGGCACCTAACCCTTTCCTAAAAGTCAAAGACAGAGGTAAGGGGTCCAGACGTACAAGAACATTTATAACATCACTCTTTGTTGCAGCAAAAGGGATGCTCATCAATTGAGGAATGTCTAAAAAACTGATATGAAGGGAATAGATTATTATTGTACCATAAAAAACAATGACTACAGGTGATTGAGAGAAATCTGGGAAGACCTGTATAAAGTGATGCAGAGTTAAGCAAGCAGAAAAAGAACACGATGACCACAATAATAGTAAGGAAAATCACATAAAAAGATTTCAAAGCTCTGATCCATGCAGGAACGAATTATGACTTTATTTTTTTTTTTTGAATTATGATTTTACAAGATTGATGATGATTCCATTTCTTAACAGAGATGTCATGGGCTAGATGTGAGACATACATTTATAGGCAGAGCCAGTGTACTGAACTGTTTTGCCTGACTATACTTACTGGTTCCAAAAAAAGGCTTGAATTTGAGAGATGGGGAAGTTGGGGGGTAGCAATAGTGTTGGGGTGAAAAAAAGAACATTAACAAAACATTAAAAAATTACACAGAAGAGAGCAAAAAAAAAAATCCAGAAAGGGGCAGAGACAAGCAGGACGATGTTGGTATCAATGTGTGTTAAATTTAATATAATTTTTTAAAAACTGTACATAACAGAAATTCATGGTTATATATATTCAATTCCCTTTTCTGTTCTTTGTATATGAAAATTTTTGCTTTGTTCACATTTGTTAAGTTCATGAAAAAGACAATTTTTTAAAGTATACCTGAAAAAAGGGTACAAAAACCTAAGCTCTAGGTCAAGATGCATCATGGCTTCCTCAGGTATTTCAGCCCTTCAGCATGGGATTAAATGTAGGTAAGTCTTCTATATAAATCAATCCCTACTTACATTTAAGCTATAGATACAGGGTCTAGAACATACAGGGCTGCTTCATGCTTTAAGACAGTGTGCCTATCTGAAATTATAGGCTCCTAAAAGGAAGCATCTTACTCTTTTTACTAACCCAACCTAGCTAAAATAATTCTAACTTTGTAAGGTGTGCTTTACAAGACCAGTAATTACTTGGCCAACTTTCATGAGCCATACCTTTAAAAACTGGTACACAGAGAGCTCTAAGCACAAGTCCAACAGCAACATGTGGGAATTTAAATTGCTTAAACTAGAGAGGCCCCAGGAATAGTCATCTCGTCCAGTCTACCCCTCAACTTCTAACCTGCTTAGAGGTATCCTTAGAGGGGATCTGTCTTTAGTCATCTCTACAAAGAGTATTCTCAATCAACTGTCAAGAAGAAAAGCTAAGCTAGATTTCCTCAATTTTTCAGGCACTGGACAAGACATTCTGTATAAACAATAAAATAATGAGAAAGAAGCTTTAAAAAGCACTTACCTGCTCCCCGACTGGGAGGTTCTCGGGCAGGGGGAGGTGGTCTACTACTCTGTAAAGAAGGTGAGACTGAGGTGGGTGGGGGAGGTGCCAGGCCTCTAACGAGCCCTGGTGTCTTCCTATGTAAAGAATTGTGTCTCTGTGGCAGCTCAGGGGCTGACTCTTTAGTAGGACTTGAGGGCCCATTGGGGACACCAGGGGGCTGACGGTAAGGTGGAGGAGGGGGAGCCAAAGACTGGTTATGCCCAGTTGATCCTGTCCTAATATTCACAGGGGAAGGAGGTGGCTTAATTGGAGGTGGTGCAGGAGGCCCTTCTCGGCCAGGGAGAGGCCTCTGTCCAGGGGTTGGCGGCAAAGGCTTCTCTCTGTTGTAGGATGGGGCTTTGTTGCTGTGCATAGGCAAAGGTGCAGGGGGTGCATTGGCACGGCGCCCAGGGGGTGGTGGTGGGGGAGCCGAAGAACTATGTTTCATGCCCGTGCTGCTGGTGGAATTGGGCCGGGATAGGTCCGGTAAAGAGGGTCTCTGCATCCGTGGCAGTTCTGGGAGGGAAGCTCGGCTACTGTCTGAATCATCTTGGGGCCGGCTATTGCCTGTGGACACTGGGGGCCTTGGGGCAGTGGCTCGGGAACCAGAGACCTGTAAAACTGTCTTGCCAGCTAGGTTCTCTGCAAAGAAACCAGAAATAATGGAATCAGCAAAAACAGTTTCATGGCGAGTTATTAGTTAGACCTTACAATAAGAAAGAAAATTTTAGTTTAGGGTTCTTATTCAGTCTGGAAATATCAACAAATTTATTGCATAATATTGTTTTCTGTTACTTTCAACGCCCCCTCCCCACATATGCTTTGTTTAGGGAAGAAAAAAAAAACTGACCAGATACCTGAAATGTCCTTTGTTCCAACAGGTCTGAGTTTTGGCACTCCTCCTTGGAAGAGACCTCCCTTGGGCTGTAGGGCATTTATTCCAGAACCATAACCCCCACTTCCTCCTTTGGGTTCTGCAAAATATACAACCACTTCCAAGTTATTACATAGTCTAAGCTCCCTTGATATCCAGGTGTAGTCCTCAGAAAGAATCCCTTTTCTTCAATCCTGACCACAATAAGCAAACATCCTAGCAAGAGAAAGAATATGTCCATTTTTCTCATTCAAGGAACAGAGGGTGGGTCTTGTTTCATAGCTTTTCAAAAGGAGTAAAGCTATTCCTGACTATGGCAAGGAGCTCCCCACCAGCTCAAGAACATTAAAGAGATTCTCCCCTAATCTTGCACCCTCAACTCAAAGTAACACTACTTTTAAAAGTCCCTGATGTCAAAGGGTACAACGAATAAGGAGATTCAGGTATGAAAGATTGGCCCACAGGCCTACAATGGTGGCCCATGGAAACATCTGTGAAACCTGAGACATGTATGGGGATTTAGGAATCTCTTCTGGAAAAAGATAAAGATCTGTCCCTGACACATACAAGCACAAGAGCTATGGCAGATGGGAGTCTGATGAAGAAAAACTTTCCTAACGAATGGAAGGAAACTTGTCAACTCAGGTTTCGGCAATTAAAGCAAAAACAAGCCAGCAATGACAAATTTCAGAACCAGCCCTGGGAGGCCAGGAGTTTACAGACAGGAAGATATAACCTGTCACTTACTCTCAAGGACTGGAGCACTCCGATCATTGACATGAGTCACTTTTTTCAGCCGTGTCCCTTTGCAGATGTCCTGTAATAGGGCACCTCGGCCCCGCTGTTCATCTCGACTCAGCTTGGGTGGTTCTGTGTTTGCCTACAAGAGTTCATACCAGAAAGTCAACATCATCATAAATAATTGCTACATGCCCTCCTACAGGTTGTACTGGCCTACATATTATGGAACAGACTCTAATCTCTCCTTTTAAAGACCACACACCCACCTTGGGGAAGATCCCATAGCCTTCTTCAGTCTCTTGGCTCCTGGTACTGATAATCTTTCCCTAATTCCTCCTATTAAAACCTAGCCTAAATTTAATTTACTTTCAATTCAGTTCATCTCCCCTCAGACTGTTGCCTAGAGATGTGGGGAAAGCTAACTTCATCTTTGGAAGCTTCTAATGAACTAGTAGAAAGAAACCCTTCCCCAATAAAAAATCACATTTCTCCTCTATATGGTCTAGTCAGGACACTGTAGGCCATCACCTCAGGTTAAAGTTTAGGGCTCCACAAAAAGGAGAGGGAAGAAAAGGAGGAAAAAGGAACATAGGAGAAAAGAGTTCAGTACTACTGCCTTGGCAATAGCCAAACCCAAGATGATTCAGACAGTAGCTGGATCAGGGCTATGCAGCTGGGTAGAGACAAAAATTTCAATGTCCAAGGCAAACATAACTTTCCTGGTATACAGTAGCATGACATGGTAGATAGAGTGTTAAACTTGGGTCAGGAAAACCCATTCTCAAACTCTACCTCAGCTGTATGTCCATGAGCAAGTTACTTAACCTCACTGATCCTCGGTTTCCTCATCTCTAAAACAGGAATAACAGCATCTACCTTACAAGGTTGTTAGGATCAAATGAAGTAATACACATAAAGTATGTTGCTAACCTTAAAGCACTAAACAAGGTGTTCCAAAAATCTTAGCTCTCTTTTAAGTTTTAATAGTGTAAAATGTTTGGGAAATATTAGCTATAGCAGCATAGTATATAATGGACAGAACCATGAACTCCAAGGCTAAAGCCTTAGATTTTGATCTTGGAAATTCTATTAGGTAGCTGTGTAACTTCAAGCAAATTATTTAAGCTCTCTAGGTTTACTCATCTGAGAAATGAGGAAATGAGACTAGATGACACCCAACTGTAACATTCCATACTTCCATAAAGTGAGTTATAAAAGCCATGGTCTTGGATCCTTTAAGAGCTTACAACCTAAGCCTTTTTGTCTCCATTTTCAAGGCTGTGGATGCTTTTTACCAATATATTCCACAAGCTTCCTACCCTTTTCTTTGTATTTGGGGAATGTCAGTTTTGTCTAGCTCTACTTTTGACACGAATTGACTCAGGGAGTAAGAAGAGAGAAGAGGTACACTGAACAATTAGCAAGTAGTAGGAATGCCCATCCTCTTTTTCATGATGAACAGAGGAGCGACACATTCACATTTGTAGGACAAATAGTTTTATAATGAAACAATAGTTCCTCCTCCTACTCCATCCTATCTAAAAAAAAATCTAGGAATCTTAGTGTAGAACAAGTTCAACATGAGTCAACATTGTAAAACGGCAATCAAATAAGCTAAGTGAATGTTCAATTGAAACAAGATTGGCAAAATGTCCACAAACAGTGACAGGATACTCCTGCTGTGGTCTGTCAAGGGTGGAGTATATCAGGAGTATCGTATACTGGACCCCACATTTTAGGAAGGACATAAACAACCTAAAAAATGTTCACAGGAGGGTGACCAGAATGGTAAATGCCCCCAATATCATGCCACATAAGGATCAGTTCAGAGAAATATAACTTAATCTAGAGATCTAGAACAGGGGTGGGGAACCTGCAGCTCTGAGGCCACATGTGGCCCTCTAGGTCCTCAAGTACAGCCTTTTAACTGAATCCAAACTTCACAGAACAAATCCCTTTAATAAAAGAATTTGTTCTGTAAAACTTGGATTCAGTCAAAAGGCCACATGTGACCTCAAGGCTGCAGGTTCCTCACCCCTGATCTAGAAGAACATAATAGCTGTCTTCAAGTAGCGGAAGGATTGTCATGTGGGAGGATTAGATTTATTCTGCTTGGCACTAGAACAAAGAACTACAAACAATGTGCAAAAGTTGTAACAGAAGTTGCACAAAGACATATTTGAGTTGCAAAAGGAAAAACTTCCATACAATTAAAGCAAACTGAAAGTGCAATGGACTGCCACAGGAGGATGTAGTGGGCACCTCTTCACAAAAGGTCTTCGAGGAAAAGCTAAGTGGATGATCTTTTGACAGGGATGCTGTCAGGATTCCTGATCAGGTACAAGATGGACTAGTTGGTCTCTTAGGCTCTTCTGTTTTTCTGTCAAATTTCTATCCATTGTTTAAAGCTTAACTCAAATGCCACCTACTACATGAAGCTTTTCTTGATAAAGATACTCGACCTCTAAATTCACATAATACTTTGTTTACCATTCTCCAGTATGTTTACCACATAGCGCTATATGTCATCATTATCTGTAGTTATGTCTTATGCCTCTACTAAACTGAAAGCTCAATGAGTGAAAAGACCTCAGATCTAATAGGTGTTCATAGAACAGGTGCTTAATAAGTATTTCTGAAGGAATGATCTGAATGAATAAATGACTAACAAGAATGTGTGAAGAGAAACAAAATACTTAGCAGCTGTACAAGCAGATTAATAAGTGACACTTAAAACAGCATTTTGATTTTGAGACTAATGCTTTAGTGGACAGAATGCTACCTGGTTAAAAGTGGGGGGTGGAGGTGGACCAGGTGGAGGAGGAGGAGGAGGCGGAATCGGCATCCTTGCCCTGCTCCCAGTTGGTGCTGTCTTTTAATGGTCGGAAGCCTTGGGCCACTCATATACCTGCAAATAAAATTAAAACATGCATAAAAATACTTCTTCACACTAGAATTCAGTGGCTAAAAGAACCATTTACTTATTATGTTAGATACCACTTCAGGTGAAGCAGTGCACACAACACATCCACCTCTCAGATACTTGACCACAGCATTAACATTACCTTTTTATTTTAGTTATCATTAAGATCTCAGAGAGCTTTAGAAAAAAACTCTAGTTTTGTGCTCCACTGCAGTCATCATTTCACCACTTCAGAGAGAAAGAAGGAAAATTGATTTATGCAAAGTTACCCAGTACAGTTAGAACCAAGAACCCTTACTTAACACTCAGCCATAAAGAACTAATAAGCCATTATGAATCTGATACCCCCACTGATGACCAAAGCAACAAACAAAACCACACAAATGTCAGAGAAACTAGTTTAGCTAAAAAATAAAATTATTACAGAATTCAGTGTCTAATGAGCTTAGTCCATGAGAAAAGCCAGAAGTTGTACCCAATTAGGATTAGAAGATCATATGCATTAAGACAAATTCCAAAGATCAAAACAGCAAAGACAGTCCCAGAGAGAACAGAAAGGAGAAATCAGGTTTGCCAGTCTCCTTAGAAAGAACTGATCAGAACTTCTGTGTGATAACCATGAAGTTTTTTCCCCCTTTGGAGACCTAAAATTCTCTTTAAGTACCCTGTGAATAGTTAAAAGAAAAGGTCTTAGTAACACAGAGCATGGAGTTGGATCAGAGATACAACTGAGATGGCCCACCCAAGCCAAATCCCTTCCAGTACAGTACTTCACGGGGCTGTGTATCAAACAGAACTAAGTTTCCCCTTGGCCTTATATGAAGAAAATGACAATGTTGGGGTGACTACTTGAATTGGGTAATGCCAACAGCAGAAGCAGTGTCCAAACTCATCTCTAGAGAACAACAGAGTTGGGGCAGCTAGGTGGCGCAGCTGATAGAGTACCAGCCCTGAAGTCAGGAGGACCTGAGTTCAAATTCGGCCTCAGACCAAACACTTGATACTTACTAGCTGTGTGACCCTGGGCAAGTCACTTAACCCCAACTGCCTTTTAAAAAAAAAAGAGAGAGAATAACAAAGTCACCTGCGAGAGAAAAATTTCTGCTTCCAGTTTCAAAGCCAAGTACCAGTTTTTGCCAGCTGACCTAGCACAACAGGACTTAAAAAACTAAACAAAGCAGCAAATTCCTATAAGATAAGCACCCTTCAGCAGAAAAAACACTAAAATAATTTTTTTTCAAAAGGAAAGGAGAAAAATTGTTCTATACATTCCCAGACAATAAAATGCTTCAGTCATTTATATGTGTTATTCTTCACATCCATTCCTCTCATCCTTAATCAAAGTGGCTGTTAGAATACTGATTGGGGAAAAAAAGTCTAATTTTTAAAAAAAAAAGTTAGCCTACCTAGACATATTTCTAACTAGCTCCAGTTAGCACTCAGAAATTCTGCTACTAGCCTACCTTATAGCTCCAGTGTTATCTGTAGAGGCTCAGCTGGAAAGACCTTCAGAATCTATTTTGAGAACTGGGAAAGAGATCCAAACAAGCATCTAATGACTTATAACACCAAATAAAAGGACAAGCAACTCTAACACCAGCCACCACACAGTAGATACTGACCCAAAGAAAATTAGTTCACTTCAGGACCACATATAACATACAAGAGCAGATTACCAGATGGCCATTGCATTTTAAAAATCTTTTATGTTGATACCTTTTGTTTTTATATCATATTCATTTCCAAATATATGCCATCTCCCTTCTATCAATGCAACAGTGGGGAGATGATAGGTGGAATATTATACATACTGTCATTTGGTTGATTTTTTTGGGCTAGTTTTGCCAAATTGCTGGAGTTTTCTTCTTTTTAAATACTGTTGTGTGGTAGCATATATTAACAAATGAGTATGATACAAAAATAAAAGGCATTAATTTAAAAAAAATTTACAAGATGCTGTGGCCAGTTGGGGCCTGTGTGTGATAAAAAGCCCAAGAGTGAGTCTCCAGAGCCAAAATTTGTCATTAAAATTACGTAGTTTGCAGTTTCAGGAGTCTTTTATTTCTTTCACTTTGCATTGTTACAATCTTTGTGTATACTGTTTTCCTGCTTATTTTACTCTGTATCAACTTAAATAAGTTTTCCCATGCTTCCCTGAATTCTTCAGTCTTAGAGTACAATAATATTCCAGTTAACTCATGCGTACCACAATTTGGCCACTCCCCAATCTATGGGCATCTACTTTATTTCCATTTCTTTGCTATCACAGAAACTGTTGCTATGATCATTTTTATGTACATGTGACCTTTTGTTTGTTTGTTTTGGATTATATATTAAGCTTAAATTATGTGTTTAGCAGTGGGATCTTTGGATCAAAGAGTATAGATAATTTGGTCACTTTTTTCACAATTCCAAATTGCTTTCCAGAATGGTTGGACCAATTCTGAGCTCTACCAACAGAGTATCGTACACCTGTGTAAGTATGCTTGCCTTCCCTTAGTACTTGTTAACTATTTACAGCCTTTGTCATCTTTCCTAATTTGTTGGGTGTGAGGTAAAACCTGTTTTAATTTGCCAGTAATTCAAGCAATCTTTAATGTGGTTAATAGTTTACAATTCTTTAAAGAACTTTCTCTTCTCATCATCTTAGAATTCTTATCATCCTTCAAAGCTCAGCTCAAGCAACAAAAGCTGCAACATGAAGCCTTTCCTGATCCCTCTAGTTTTAAGTGCTTCACCTGACATTTCTTACTATTTACTTTGTATATATGTGTATGTGCATACACACACACACAGACACATATGATACATATGAATAAAATACTTACATACACTCGTTACTTCCCCAGAGAGAACTTAAGCTACTTAAAGACTGCAACTATTTTCATTGTTTTAATTTTCTACCCCCAGCATCCTTACAGGTACTAGAGACAATTTTGACTAAAATATTTGTTCCTGCCCTCTGATCACGTATCCAATGGGCAATAGCTCTTGCATATCTGTGTTAATTAGCCACATATTTTGGATATTGGGGACTTCATTAGACCTATGTGATAACAAAGATTTTCTCCCAATCGATGGTTTCTTTGAAAGACTTGAGGACTCTCATCAATGTCACAACCAAACAAGTCTCCAGAGGACCTCTGATAAAACATGTTACTCACCCTCCTGACAAAGTGATGAATACAAAAGCAGAGGCCTTTATTTTTGGACAGAGCCACTGAAAAGGTTTATTTTGCCTGACTTTCCTTGTTGCAAGGGGTTTTTTCCCCTTCTTTCTTCCTTCAGGTTTTTAATGGGCATGGAAGGTATTAGTCAGGGTATAGGGTGGGTTAGCAATAGTCTTACCAAAAGAAAAAAAAAAGGCCATCATTAACATTTTTTAAATGCTTCACAAAAGAAAGCAGAAGGAAGCATGGAGAAGCAGGATAGTTTTTAAAATAACATGTAGAAATTATTACGTACTTTTTAAAAGTGTTCTGAAAAGATTTTCAGTGTCATAAAGAATCATTTTTGTGTTCTGCTGTGTACATGGAAATGTTCACTTTTTTTGAAGCTTAAGTTCAGAATAATTTTTTCCCTAAGATTAAATAAAGGAACCTATATAAAGCACAATCTCATTATACAAACAAAATTTTGTAATCAACAAACAATAACCACAATGACATTTTATATTTACTATACCTTTCACTTAATTGGGGCATGGTAAAGATACGATTCATTTTAAAAAAGATAATTCATTTTTGTTTGTTTCCTTTAATCTAACTAAAGTTAAGACAGGCTTCCAAAGTAAAAAAAAAAAAAGAAAAAGATTTAAACAAGAAGTCAAAAGCACTGTTTGGGGTTTCATGTGCACCTGGATTCCTGATTAGGGCAATAGAGCAAAGTAGGACTCGCCTGGTAAAAGGGAACTGAGGTATGTGCGAGGCACAGGACTGTCAGATCTCCTCTGGCACATTCCCAGTCCATCAAAGAAGAGTCTTACCGATAGCTGAAGGTTCCAGTTCCAGCCACTGAAGATTCAAGATAGTAAATGAAAGGATAAGAAAATTCACCTTGAGTCACATTATCTCTGCAAATATGGTTGGAAGTAGTCTTGTTTTCCACACAAATATTTGGTGGCAAAAGAGAATTAACATTAATGCTTTCTTTTACATGGGGCAATTAAATTGAGTGGGGAAAACTGGTACCACGAAAATAAATTATTCTCTTGGATTCTTGACCACCATAAGAAAATAATCTTTATCTGGAGCACCAAGGTCTCATTTTTCTTCAAGTGAATTTGGAGGAATGTCTGAGGGTGAGGGGGAGTGGGTCAATGTTATACACCCAGGTCTTCAGGATGAAGCTGTAAAGGCCATTGGCATTACTACAGTGTAGTTGTCAGTGATGTTTTTGATGAGATATCTTCTGCACTGATCATAGTAATTTCTTTACTCCCTTTGACTCTGAAACTGCTTTAAGGGTTTCTTCTACCTCAGTCACCTCCTGATAGAAACAATAATTTGTCTGACAATGGTATTAGCCAGAGATAGTCTTCACCAACATGATTTGCTGTTAAATACTGCTTGCAAAAAGATCGCCCATTAGGGTGGCAATCACGATCTCAGACAAATCAAAAGCAAAAACAGATCTTATTTGAAAGAGGTAATCAGGGAAACTACATTTTGCTTAAAGGTACCACAGACAATGAAGTAATATAAAAAATTTTTACAGCAAGTTTCTCTGACAAAGGATTCATTTCTCAAACATATACTGAGTAGAGAACTGAGTCAAATTTATAAAAATAAGAGCCATTCCCAATTAATAAATGGTCAAAGGACATGAACAGGCAGTTTTCAGAAAAAGAAATCAAAGCTATCTACAGTCATATGAAAAAATATGAAAAAATTATCTAAATCACTATTGATTAGAAAAAAGCAAATTAAAACAACTCTGAATTACTACCTCACACCTATCAGAAATGACAATTGCTGGAAGGGATG